AACAGTGCAATGTCCTAGTCATGCATATACATACATATATTCATTTTCATTAAAGGTTATTACAAGATATTGAATATAGTTCCCTGTGCTATACAGAAGAAATTTGTTTTAATCTATTTTCATGTTTAGTGGCTAACATTTGCAAATCTCAAACTCCCAAATTTATCGCATCCCACCCTCTTTCCCCTGTAACCATAAGATTGTTTACTATGTCTGTGAGTCTGTTTCTGTTTTGTAGATGAGTTCATTAGTGACCTGTTTTTTTTGTAGATTCCACATGTGAGTAATATCATATGGCATTTTTCTTTCTCTTTCTGGCTTACTTCACTTAAAATGACAATCTCTAGGTCCATCCATGTTGCTGCAAATGGCATTATTTTATTTTTTATGGCTGAGTAGTATTCCATTATATGTATGTATGTGTGTGTGTGTGTATATGTGTGTGTGTGTGTGTGTGTGTGTGTGTGTATACACACACATACACCCCACAACTTTATCTAGTTATCTGTCAATGGACATTTAGGTTGTTTCCATGTCTTGGCTATTGTATATAGTGTTGCTATGAACATTGGGGTGCATGTATCTTTTTGAATTGGAATTCCCTCTGGATATATGCCCAGAAATGGGATTGCTAGATCATATGGTAAGTCTATTTTTAGTTTTTTGAGGAATTTCCACATTGTTTTCCATAATGGCTGCACATTTGAGAGTCTTTTGCTGTCTGAAGAGAAACAGTTCTATTTATGAACCCAGCAAGTCCTGGACTTCATATTTTCTCTCAACTCTACTTGACAATGGGATGATCCCCCTCCCTGACTGCTGTCTTTTACTTTTTAAACTTATTTTGCTTCTCCCTATTTTATCATAGTTTTCTGGAAGAAGACCTTTCAACAATGATTGGAAAACTTCTTGGCCAATATTATCAGCTTCTTTCTATCTTCTTTATTATTGCAAGTGACACTAATTTTCCTGCCAAAATAACTGCCATCCTCTTTTTCAGTCTTTAATAATAATTTATTTATTGTACTTAAAGTTTTCACTAATAGTCTCTGCTCATGTCTGGTTTCAAAATCAATGGAGCACGTTTTAAGTTTTGGTTGTGTATCACTCCACTTTTAGGCCCAAGGTAGAGAATTAGAAAAGAGAATAGAAGTATGAAAACACAAAAATAAATTACTATGAAAAAGATTTATAGAATTTACTATATAAAATATTTAAAGCCTCATTATATCAACCCCTCTCACCATAAGTAAAGCTAATGACAAATAATAAACTGAATTTATTTGAATCATATATGAAGGGAATAGAATTAGATTTAAATAAAAATGGGAAATGATTTTAACAGAAATTTAAGAATATGTGTCACAAATAGATATGTCTATATTTTTAGCACAATAATTTCATTCTTTAAAACATATACTAAGGAAAAGATAAAGGTATATGCAAAGGTATTACTATAGAGATCTACACTACAACATTATGCACACTACAAAAAGATTAGAAAGATAAATTTAAAAAATCTAAATGTTCAACAGTAAGAGATTAGTTGAGTAAATCACAACATATCTGTATTAAAATAATTAAGAGACATTAAAATCGTGTTTTCTGAGAACATTTGAACATATGTAGAAAAGCTCACAAAATATCTAATGAGAAATCAGGTTCAAAAGATGAGGTATAATATGAAAATATATGCACTGAAAAAATAGAAGTATATAGGAAAAATAAAATGATATCTAGATGTTTAGTGGTTCTATTCTTTCTAATTTTTCTGCAAGAAACAGGTAATACTTCTATAATGAAAAAAGTTAACAAATACCATGTAATATTTCTGGTATGTAGTAGGTTCTCATTTAATGTGTTCAATTAATGAACTATAGGTTTAAAAGGAAGAGAAGTTGTGACTTTGACTTCCCTAAAACTGGATCCAGATTCAGAGTAACTTATGGTTAGGGCTAACTTATGGTTAGGTGTTGGCACCACTGGGCTCTAGGAAAGAAGAGAAAGAAAGAAACCTGGTACCTTCTTATAAAAATAGGAGAATTTGTATTTACTCCAGCTCTTGAAACATGAAATTTGTGAAAGAGCCTCTGCACTTAATAGAAAATCTAGGGTTTAGAAATACAAAGTTGAAAAGAAAGCATTAGAATTACAAGGAAAAGTATTTTTTACTTACTACCCCAGAACATTGGGACAAAAAAAAATATTAATGATTATAAACTGCTTTGAAAATGTAACTGCATTGTATGACATCAGCCTTGGTGCTAACCTCTAGTAGAGTTCACAATGAATCAATTAGTCTTTGATCATCCTGGCAGCACTGCCAAGTGTTATTAGTGCTGGAAACTGTAAGCAGCCACTGAGGACCTGCCCGTGATTACTTCCTGGAAGTCTTAGTTTTCAGTCTGTGGAATGGAGCTGGCCCTGACTGCACGTTGTAACACAAGTAATTATTCATCAAAACTTGTCTTGCTGCAAGCAGTTCATTCCTCTCACCACAGATGTCCCCATCCTGACCCAGAGCAGCATGAATGTGGGCTAAAAATAGCAGCTGCACAATGCAGCAGGCAGCCATGGTGAGAGTGCATCTAAGCGGTTTTCATATCCTTGGTTTCAGAGCACTTTCCCCACTCAAATTAACCCTTCGAGAAGTCCTGGAAGAGGAATACTATCTTATCCTGTCTTGTGCTTGAGTCCTTTGAGATATAAAGCACATTTCTTTTTGTGAATACACTCTGCTTTGCCTAATTGAAATTTCCTCCTTTCTCTCTGTTTTATGCATCTGCCATTTCTTGTTTTCTTCTCTTTCCGTAACAGGAGTGGGAAAATGGGAGTATCAGTTCTAGAACTGTCACTATACTTTCTGGTCACACCACATGTTCAAAAGAACATATTCATTAACACTTATTACATACAAGTATGTAGTGTAGAAGCTAAACATATCACCTTTATCCTCTTATTGAATCAGCCTCCGGAAAATCAGCATTAAAGGAACATCTAGAGAAGCATGTGATTTCAATCTTCAGTTTTGCTAATGTGATTTTAATGTCCCAGGTCTCCTCATGTTGTTTGGTTTAATTGTCTTCTAATGTGAAGATCTAGTGAAAGAATCCTAATTTAAAGACTTCATCTACATCATCCACATAAAATCCTGTTAAAAACAGTCTTCTACCTCCTTTTGTGGCACAACTTCATCATGTTGATCCAGGAAATTGACATTTCTGGCTCAAAATCCTCTCCATAATTACCTGGATTCCCTCATATTATTAGGACTGCTGAACATCTCAGAATTTCTAAGATGCTTCGACTGATCAAGCTCAACTCTAACCCTCAAAGAGGATGATGATGGACAGATGTGGCCCTCTGCCCTGAAGGCACTAATAATCTTACAGTATGTGCTACCTATAGTTATAAATATAACATCTCATGTAATTCTTTTGATTTTTAGAAGTTTAAGACTAGACACTTTATTAAGTCATTCTGTCTCTTTGATGAGTGTTTAAGATAGTAATTTTTCTTTTTTCCCCAGCTTTATTGAGATATAATTGACAAGTAAGACTACTTAACACATACTTCACCTCACATATTATCCATTTTGTTGTTGTTATGTGAGAACATTTAGATCCCATGTAATTCTGTCATCAGATTTTTGGCAGATTGATGACAAGTAAGATGGACCCTAAGGTCCAGTCAAGGCCAATAATGGAATATGATCTCTACTTTGTAATTCTTACTTCGGCAAATTTTCCTAATCATATTAATAGTTAACACTTTCGAAAACTTCCTGTGAAGCAGGATTCTTATATATATATATGTGTTTAGTCATTTTATATCCACAATAACCATATTTTTATCATCTCCTTTTGAAAGATACCCTTGGTGAGTGTGAGTAGTCACCGAGAGTGGGAGAGGTTTCTGGGCTTCTAGGAATGCTGTGTGTTTTGATCTTTATGCTGATGGCACACATGTGTTCACTTTCTGAAATTAATTAGGCTGACACATGTATGTATACTTTTCAGCATTCAAGTTCACAGTGGAAAAAAAGTAGCAGAGGCAGGATTCAAACACAGATGTTCTAATTTGACAACACATATTTTAATTAAAATAATAAAAAACTACAGTTGGTATTGCATTTCTAGAAATGCAATGTATATTCACTGAAATATTTGTCCTTTAGAATGCTGTTTGAAGAGCAGGGCCTATGAGTATGTAAGTTTGAGAAACATGGCATATGCCTTGTATGGGATTCATGGCACATTTTAACATGGTAAAAGCTTAAATATGAATGTTGCATGGAGAAAAGTATTGTAAGTTTGTATAACACAATTTTTGAAATGTTTTTGCCCTTGAAACACCTTTCACCATATAGTTCTTTAATGTGCTGCTAAAAAGATTCCTGAAAAATCCCCTTTGAAAAATAATGTCTTGGGGGAAGGAATATAAGAAAACAATGGTGTTTTTGAAAAAGACTCAGTGATAAAATAAGATAAAATTTTTTTATAAAGTCAAATTTGAGACAAGTTTCTGTGGTATGTTTCAGTAAAGCATGATTTAAATGTTAGCTGACTGGGCTTTTTATTTCTCTACCTCTGTTCCCATCTGTAATTCATCTTGTCTTTTTTAAAAAGTTACTTGCTATGTTTTATGTTGGTCTTGTCTACACAGAAAAGTTTCTTTATATATTTACATTAACATAAAATGTTTAAAGAAGAAAAACATACATTTAGAAAAGTACGCATATCATATGTGTCAGCTAAATTAATTTCATAAAGTGAACACATGTGCCATCAGCATCCAGATCAAAACACAGAGCATTCCTGGAAGCCGAGAAACCTCCCACAATTCCAGACACTGCGCTCTTTCACCAAGGTAATCACTACTCTGACCTCTATCTACATAGGTTTGTTTTTCTCCCCCTTTTTTTTTTTGCCTATATCTTCATTGAGGTATAATTTATATCAATTAAACTGCACATATTTAAAGTGCATTTTATGAGTTTTGACATATATATCACACCCAATCAAGATAAACACTATACCAACTATCTTCCCAATTTTCCTTTTGACTTTCAGAATTCTCCATCCTCAAGCAACCACTGGCCTGCTTTCTGTCACTCTAGATTTCGTTTGCATCTTCTAGAACTTTACGTAAATGGAGTCATACATATGTATCTTCTCTTTGTGAGGGGGACCTGGCTTATTTCACTCATCATTACTATTTGGAGATTCTTTTCAGCTGGTTTTGTGCATTAGTCATCGGTTCCCTTTTGTTCCTCAGTAGTATTTCATTGTATGGGTATAGCACAATTTGCTTATCTATTCACCTGTTGATGTGTATTTATACTGTTTTGAGACATTACAAATAAAGCTTCTCTGAGTACCTGTGTACAATTTTTTGCGCACAGATTTTCATTTCCTCTTGTAAATACCTAGGAGTGCTGTAACTGGGTCATATGGTCAGCGTGTGTTTAAATTTTTCAGAAACTGCCTGTTTTCAAAAGTGAATAAATAAATCACTAGCTGTACATCAGAATTTAACACGTTGTAAATTGACAGTAATTCAATTTAAAAAATAAAGGAAAATAATAAGGTAAAAAAATAGATGTTCTGATAAACATTCCCACCAGTAGTATATACAGTTCCAGTTGTCCCATATCCTTACCAACCCTGGATATGTTTATAGTTTTTCATTTTAGCCATTCTAGGGAGTGTGCAGTGATACTGTATTGAGTTTTTAATTTTCATTTTCTTAACAGCAGCCTTTTACGTGCTTATTTGCCATCTGTACATCTTCTTTGGTGAAATGCCTGTTCAAATACCCCTCCCTTTTTTAATTGGGTTGTTCATTTTCTTATTATTGGGGCTTGAAAATTATTGTGGATATAAGCTCTTAGTTGGAAAGCAGTCTTAGAAATATGTTCTTCCAATCTACGGCTTGCCCTTTCATTTCTGTAACAGACTCTTTTGAAGAGCAGATGTTTTTAATTTCTTGTAGTCTCATTTGGAATCCATGATCCAGTTTTGATTATTTTTGTTTATGGTGAGGTAGGGTCAAGTTTTTGTTTGTTTGTTTGTTTTTGTTTTTTTAGGGTTTTTTTTGGTGTGAAGCTATCCAGTTACACTACCACCATTTGTGGAAAAGAATTCTTTCTCACATTGAATTGCCCTAGTCTTTTTGTCCAAATTCAAATGACCATATGTATGTCGGTTTATTTCTGAACTTTCTAGTCTGTTCCATTATCTATTTCTCTATCTTTACACTAAAACACAGTATCTTAATTACTCTAGCTTTCCAATAATTCTTGAAATCAGGTCATGTACTTCCTTGAGAGTTAAGTTCAGCATTCAAGTTTACATAGGAAAACAAGTAGCAGAGGCAGGATTCAAGCCCAGATAGTCTGAGCACACAGTTTAACTGTATTCTTTTACAAAGTTGGTTTGACTGTTTAAGGAACTTTGCATTTATTTTCAAATTTTAGTTCAGCTGATCAACTTCTTTTAAGAAGTGCCTTCTGGGATTTTGATTAGGATGGTACTGAATCTATAGATCAATTCTGGGGAGAATACACACCTTAAAATATAGAGTCTTCTGATCCATTTTCTAAGTATGTTTCTTCATTTATTAAAATATTGTATTTATTAGAGCAACTTTTTTAGTTATCAAATGCATTCCTAAGTATTTTATTTTTTGATGCTACTGTAAATGGTATTTTTAAATTTCAGGTTCCTATGTTTATTGCTAGTATAACATAAATTAGCATTGCCTACTTGACAAGGCATATTTTCTGAAATATTAGACAACTCATTACCAGTTTCTGGGCTGTCATTTGTAATATAATATTTTAAAAATATATGTTGCAATGGAAAGATACAAAAAAGCCCCACTGTCTTTGAGACAATCTGTGAATCATTGTTGTATTCACTTATTCATATTTTTACCCATTTATTCTCTCCCATTGAAGTTTATGAAAGAAAAGTGAAGGAAATGTTTTAAATATTCTTAAATGTTTAAAAGGAAACTTAAGCTCAGAGGTGAAGCGAATTCCTATGAAAAGAAAGAAAGCTTCAAGAAAAAGGCCATGCTTTGGCTTTGGACCTGAGCTTACTATTGACCACACACAAATGGCTCAAGCCATGCTTTTGATAACATGAGTTATAGTGTTACACTAAGTCTACTAATTAACGGTCAGCATTTCCAGTTGGCATTGTAAACATCTTAGTAAAATTTTAACATTTTCATCCATTCTGGAAAGTCCTTCTATAAATATATTAGCAGTATTAAGTGCTTTCTCAGATCTCCTTCCACCAACATACACATATACCCACACCCACAGACAGACATCAGAAAGCCTTCTAGGACTAAACTGTGTCCATGCTCGTATATTGAAGTTTTAAGCCCCAGCGTGACTATATTTGAAGAAATGGTCTTTTGGAGGTGATTAAAGTTAAATGAGGTCATAATGGTGGGGCCCTTATCCAGTAGGACTGATGGCCTTATAGGAAAAGAAAGAGAGAGATCCCTCTTGCTCTCTCTCTCTCTAAATATACACACTGAGGAAGGGCCATGTGAGCTCACAGTTAGAAGGTGGCCATCTACAAGTCAAGAAGAGAATTCTCAACAAACTGGATCATACTGGTATTCTGTTCTCAGACTTCCAGGTTCCAGGATTGTGAAAAAATAAGTTTCTGTTCTTTAAGCTACCCAGTCTATGGTATTTTGTTATGGCAGCTCCAGTAGACCAATATACAAGCCAAATCTAATCACATTTCCTATACCTTCCCTTGTTATATGGTTGTTTAATTTGATGCATGCAGTGAATGTGCTGATTATGCTGGCAGATTTAGGATTCATTTACAGGAGGCCATTCTGATGATCCTGGTGTTTTCTCATTGATTTACCGCTGGGTATATTGTTATTATCACAGGACCATCAAACTACAATTCATTCAGCAGTTTATTAAGTGACATCTCTTCCCAGACTATGAAAATATGCAACTCCCTCTTAAACAGGACATTTAAAAAAATTTTTTTAATATTATAGTACTTTTAGATTTGTAGAAAAGTTACCAAGATACTTTAAGAGTTCAAGATTTGCAAATGTTAGCCATTATATATAAAAATAGATTTTTTAAAAAACGAGTTTCTTCTGTAGGGCACAGGGAGCTATCTTCAATATCTTGTAATAACCTTTAATGAAAAAGAATATGAAAATAAATATATGTATGTATATGCATGACTGGGACATTGTGCTGTCCACCAGAAATTGACACATTGTGACTAACTGTACTTCAATAAAAATAAATTGCTTTGTGTTGAAAAGTAAAGTTATCCAGATAATACAAATGGTTCTAAGAAACTCAGTACCAGTTTCCCCTTTTGTTAAAATCTTACGTTAGTAAGATATATTTGTCACAACTAATAAACCAATACTGATACATTATTAATAATGTATAATAAGTCCACACTTCATCAGTTTCTATCTAGCATTCTTTTCCTGTCCCAGGATCCCATTCAGTATAGGCAGAATGTGACATTGAGTTGTTATGTCTCCTTAGGTTCCTCTTCTTGGCTGTGAAGATTTCACATATTTGCCATTTTGTTACGGTGGATTTTTTGGGGGGTTTTTTGTATACATATTTTTTTATTGAAGTATTGTCAGTTTACAATGTTTTGTCAATTTCTGGTGTACAGCATAATGCTTCAGTCATACATGAACATACATATATTTGTTTTCATATTCTTTTTCACCATAAGTTACTATAAGAAATCGAATATAACTCCCTGTGCTATACAGTATGAACTTGTTTTTCTGTTTTCTATATATTAGTATCTGTAAATCTCAAACTTCCAATTTCTCCCTTCCCACCCCTTCCCCTCCTGGTAACCATAAGTTTGTTTTCTACATCTGAGTCTGTTTCTGTTTTGTTAATAAGTTCCTTTGTCTTTTTTTTTTTTTTTTTAAAGATTCCACATATAAGTTGTATCATATGGTATTCTTTCTCTTTCTGGCTTGCTTCAGTTAGAATGACAATCTGCAGGACCAACCATGTTGTTGCAAATGGCATTATTTTATTATTTTATGGCTGAGTAGTATTGTATAAATATACCACAACTTCTTTAATCATCTGTTGATGGACATTTAGGTTGTTTCCATGTCTTGGCTATTACAAATAGTGCTACTATGAACATTGGGGTGCATGTATCTTTTTGAATTAACGTTCCTTCTAGATATATGCCCAGGATTGGGATTGCTGGATCATATGGTAAGTCTATTTTGAGTCTTTTGAGGAGTCTCCATTACTGTTTTCCATAATGGCTGTACCAAAATACATTCCCACCAACAGTGTATGAGGGTTCTGTTTTGAGGAACATTGGCAATGTTTTATATAAAATGTTCCTTAATTGGGGTTGTTTGGTGTTCTTCTTATGATGAGATTGAGGTTAGAGGTTTTGGGGAGAAAGACCCAGGGGTAAAGTGCCATTCTCATTGCATCATTTCAAGAGTGAATGTTATCAACATGACCTGTCACCTGACTGAAGCTATGTTTGTCAGCCTTCTCCACTATAAAGTTATTCTTTTCCCCCTCTTCTAGACTGCACATGGAAGTCACTAACACAGCCTATGTTTAAAAGTAGGGAGTTATATTCCATCTCCTTGAGGGGGCAGATGTACATAAATTATTTGAAATTCTTCTGTATGGGAGATTTGTCTATATGCCCCTATTTATTTTCTTACTTGATCATTTATATCAGCATGAACTCTTGTATATTTACTTTCCATATTGGGTTATAATTAAATACTAGTTAACCATTTCTTTTTTTATTGAGATATGGTTGATGTACAGTATTACATGTTTCTGGTATATAACAGATTCATAATTTTTAAAGGTTCTATTTCATTCATAGTTGTTAGAAAACATTGGCTATATTCCTGGTGGTGTACTACATATCCGTGAAGCTTATTTATTTCATACATACTAGTTTGTACCTCTTAAACCCCTCCTCCTATGTTGCCTCTCCCCCTTCCCTTTCTTCTATGGTAACCACTAGTTTGTTCTCTATATCTGTGAGTCTGTTTCTTTTTTGTTATATTCACTAGCTTATTTTGTATTTTATATTCCACATATAAGTGATATGATACAGTATTGGTCTTTGTCTGACTTATTACTCTAGACATAGTACCCTCCAGGTTCATTATGTTCTTATAAATGGAAAACTTTCATTCCTTTTAGTGGCTGGGTAGTATTCCATTGTGTGTGTGTTTATATCACATCTTCTTTATCCATTCTTCTGTTGATGGACACTTAGATTGCTTCCATAACTTGAAAATTGTAAATATTGTTGTTATGAACATTGGGTAAATGTATCTTTTCATTTTAGTGTTTTTATTTTATTTTTGGATATATGCGTAGGAGTGGAATTGCTGGGTTATATAGTGGTTCTATTTTTAGCTTTTTGTAGAACCTTCATATTGTTTTCCACAGTGATTTCACCAATTTGCATCCCCACCAACAGAGTACAAGGGTTCTATTTTCTCCACATCCTCACCAACGTTATTTGTTTGAAATCATTTTGATGATAGTCATTCTGACAAATGTGAGATGATATCTCATTGTGGTTTTAATTTGCATTTGTCTGATTATTAATAATGTTGAGCACCTTTTCACACGCCTGTTGGCCATCTGTATGTCTTCTCTGAAAAAGTGTATATACACTACTGCCCATTTTGTAATTGGGTATTTTGTTGTTTTGATGTTGAGTTGTATGAGCTGTTTATATATGTTGGATATTAACCCCTTGTTGATTATATCATTTACAAGTATTTTCTCCTATTCAGTAGTTTTTTTTCTTTTTGTTGATGCTTTCCATTGCTTTAGGAAGCAGATCCAAAAAATAGTTATGATTTATGTCAAAGAGTGTTCTGCCTATGTTTTCTTCTAGGAGTTTTATAGGTTGTGGTCTTTCATTTAGGTCTTTAATCCATGTTGAGTTTATTTTTGTATATAGTGCTGGAAAATATTCTTAATCATTCTTTTATGTGTAGCTGTCATGTTTTCCCAGCACCACTTACTGAAGAGACTGTTTTTTCTCCATTGTATATTCTTGCCTCCGTTATCTTAGATTAATTGCCCATACAAGTGTGGATATCTTTCTGGGCTGTCTATTGTATTCCACTGATCTATGTGTCTGTCTTTGTGTCAGTACCATACTGTTTTGATTACTGTAGCTTTGTTGTATAGTATGAAGTCAGGGAAATTAATGCCTCCAATTTTCTTCTTGTTTCGTAAGATTGTTTGGCTAATCAGGGTCTTTTGTGTTTCCACACAAATTTTAATTTTATTTGTTCTAGTTTTGTGAAAAATGGCATTGGTATTTTGATAGGAATTTCATTGAATCTGTAGATTGCCTCAGTTAATATGGTCATTTTAACAATATTAATACTTCCAATTAATAAACATGGTGTATCTTTCATCTGTTGGTGTCATCGTACATTTCTTTCATCAGGTTTTTATAGTTTTCTGAGTACAGGTGGTTTACCTCCTTAGATTTATTCCCAGGTATTTTATTCTTTATATGCAATTATGAATGAAACTGTTTTCTTAGTTTCTCTTTCTGATAGTTTGTTGCTAGTATATAGAAACTTAACAGATTTCTGTATGTTAATTTTGTATCTTGAACCTTTACCAAATTAATGAATTAGTGTTAATAGTTTCTTGGTGGCATCTTGGCCACTACCCAAAACAAAGCATTATTTTGCTAAAAAAATTATTTGTTATAGTGAATGGCTAATAGCTTTTGGCTTAAGAAGAACTGAATAAAACAAGATAGACAGATTCTGTCAATAATGTTTGTTAATTTGATTTAATTGTTTAGGTATCTGAATTTCTGGCAAGACTTTTTCAGGTTTCTAATTTTTGTTTGTTTGTTTGTTTCTTTATTTCCCAATACATTTTAAACCACAATTAATTTTCATGAGAGAAGTAAACAGTCAAGAATGGTCTCATGGAAATTCTTTTAAGTATCACAAGCTAAATGATTACACCACTGGAGCTACTCATGACAATTATTTAGTTTTCTTAAGAATGTCTTTTAATATAAAATTCCTGAATAACTTGTCCATGTAGTATTTTGAAAGTATGGTGATCTGAAGATGCTTGCCTCCATTCAGTAGTGAGAAAAACTGCATTACACTGTTTACCTGGTAAAGTATCAGTCAGTGCACTTTAAATATTAGCTGCTCCCACTGAATTAGATTCCTGGGGGCATGGGTACTCTTCATAGGAACCATATTGATCATATATCCAAGCTGTAATGTCATTCTGAAAAGATGAGGGCTTTTTTCTGAAAAATAAATTCATAAATGTTTGCATCATCTGAAGGACTAAGTTAACTTTTAAGAAATAATATTAATCTACAATAGAAAATTGAGAAAATAAAAAAGAAAACCATCTCAAATACTAAACATTTTAATAAAACGGTTACATTTATTTCCTCCTGGGATTTTAATGTACCTATTTTGCATACACCATTGTAACTAGATTAATGATGAATTTATGCAAATTTAACAAGAATAAAAGATTTATTACACAGTTACAGCTATTCAGTTCTCTTTTAATATAGTGAAAAGCAACCTTCTCACTATATTTTAAAAAATGTCTTTGAGCAGACCAAAACTCTTTTTTAAAAAATTAGAAATAATATCTTAAATAGTTCTTTGGGGAAAAAGAAAACCAACTTTCTTCCTTAGAATTCAACACACCCCTCACCCTGCCAGTTATTTACTGACAATATGCCAAATTAGATTGCAGCTACATGAAAATAAACAACCAGATAAGGAATGAAATATTTAGGTAATTGTGTGTGTGAAGTTTTCTCCAAACCTCCAGATGTTTGGCACTCTGTAAGGAAACTGTCATATGACTGAATTTTCCACTTTACATCTGGATGTTTTGCTGCCACAGACATTTTCTCTTGGCTGTTTATGTGAAATGTTCATTTCTTGTCATGATTCTTTACAATAGAGTTGATGTTAAAATGACAGCATTGGAACAAATTATATATCTTCCATGTATTAGTCAAGCCACAGATAAAACGATGTTTGAAAATAAACATCTAAAGAGATTTATTGTAAGTGTACACTTAGTATGCTTTTGTCCTTTTACAGCTATGTAAGATATGAGCAGCCTCAACTCAATGCCTTGACTTATGCTTGGATTCACAAGTAAAAGCCATGATGGAACTGTTAAAAATATTTTCATATTTATCCCATGAGTAGCTCCTCATGGATAATATTCTTTGACTTAAAATGGATGCAATACCATGAATTCTAGCTTAGATATCAAAAGATCAAATAATCCCCCAAGGACCAGGATAAGAAATAGTGAAGAGTTTAGTGAGTTGGATAAAGGACAATAGGAACTCTGGGACAGTCAGGGGCGTGAACTAAATTCCCCAAATCTCTATCAAAAAAGACCAAAAATAAGAAAACATGCCCAAGAACTGAATTTTCTTCAAGAACTATTTAGTTTCAATGCTTTAATTTTAGTCTTAATTTCCTCTTTTATATAAGATCCAGTTTAGAAAACTAGAGAGCAGCTTACGTAAAACTAGATCCCTAATCCAATACTCTCCACTCCCACTATCTTTCTTTATGCTGTTTACAGTGCATTCATGCATTCTTTCACAGATTTTTTAGATTCTTTCATAGAATTATTGAGTTATTAGTACCTTCAAGTAATATAGACAAGACTTCAGGCAAACTGTCTTAAAAAAACTTACATTGTATTACTTTTTTATTATTTTAAATTTTTAAATATATTTTATTTGAAGTATAGTCAGTTTACAATGTTGTGTCAATTTCTGGTGTACAGCACAGTGCTTCAGTCATACATGAACAAACATATTCGTTTTCATACTCTTTTTCACCGTAAGTTACTATAAGATATTGAATATAGTTCCCTGTGCTATACAGTATAAACTTGTTGTTTATTTTATGTATATTAGTTAGTATCTGCAAATCTCAAACTCCCAATTTGTCCCTTACCACTTCCTCTCCACCCCCATAACCATAAGTTTGTCCATAAGTTTGTTTTTTATGTCTGTGAGTCTGTTTCTGCTTTGTAATAAATAAGCTCCTTTGTCTTTTTTTTTAAGATTCCACATATAAGTAATATCATATGGTATTTTTCTTTCTATTTCTTACTTAACTTCGAATGACATTCTCCACATCCATCCATGTTGCTGCAAACAGCATTTTTTTTTATTATTTTTATGGCTGGGTAGTATTCCGTTGTATAAATATACCACAACTTCTTTATCCAGTCATCTGTCAATAGACATTTAGGTTGTTTCCATGGCTTGGCTATTGTAAATAGTGCTGCTATGAACATTGGGGTGCATATATCTTTTTGAATTAGAGTTCCCTCCAGAAAAATGCCCAGGAGTGGAATTGCTAGATCATATGGTATTTCTGTATAATACAATTATTGCATGCATGAACTGTGGAGTATGAATCAATTCCAGACCCAACTCTTATCATTTAATAGTTGTGTGACCATGGGAAAATGCACCACTTACCCTCTGAACCTCAGGGTGTGCATTTGTAATGCAGGAAAACTAACAGCACTCCTTCAGAGGGTTGTCATGATAAATAAATGAAATGATGTCCTAAATGAAATTAAGTTCTTAGGTCAACGTCTGGAAAGATACTAAATACTCAATAAATATTGCTTGTCGTGGCTACATTACAGTAACTGTCAACATAGAATTGTTGTTTCAGGAATTAATTGTCCAGACACTTATTTCTTGATGTCTCTAATTTTTTTTTTACTATTTCAGATTTGGAAAATAGATTTATACATCATTTAAAGATGATTTATTCAGTATTTGAAATGTGCTAGGCATTTTTCTAGACATTGGGTTTATAATGTAAGAAGATACACAAATTCCATACCGTCATGATGTGTGCAGTTTAGTGGAAGAAATACAATAAATTACATGGGAGAAGTGAAGAAGGGAGAAGGTGTGTGGGGAGAGAAAGAGGGAAAGAAGAAAGGAAGAAAGAGGACACAAAGAAGGAAGGAAAAAGGAAGGATGAATTCAAGTGGTGATGCCTGATTTGATAAAAAGAAATGATTTGGGAAGTTCACGGTAGGTCTAGGGTTCAAGAATGAAAGTCTCAAGTAGGAACAGTTAGAGTATTCAAGAAATAAAATGAAGTTTAGTGAGGGTGGAGCTAAGGAAAACAGGATGAGAGGTCAAATATGAGATCTAAGAGGGAATCAAGGTCTAAATTATGTAAATCTAAAAGCCATGACAAAATATTTGTACATTTTTCAAAGTGTGAAAAAGAAGGTACTAGAGGATTTTTAATAGGGAGATGTTTTGATCTGACGTATCTTTTTAAATGTTTTCTTTGATAGCTGAGTGGCAAGTTATAGAGGGGCAAGAATGGGGAAAGCAAGTAGACCATGAGAAATCTGTTACAATAGTTGAGATAAGAGATGATGACAGTCTGTACCAGTAGCCGACATAGTGAGACATGATGGAACTCAGGATGTATTTTGAAGGCAGAGCTCATACAATTTGCTGATGTGTTGGAAGAATACAAGCAAAAGCAAAGAATTGGATTCAGCTAGTGAATGGCAGCAACACAGATCTGGGAAAAATTGGGGAGCTAGAAAGGAAAATGAAGAGTTCTGCCTTGGCCACAAGTGCTTATTAGGTACCCAAGGGGAAACATGAAGTGGGCAGAGTTCAGGAGAGAAATGAAGCTGAGATTTCTCTGGGAAGCATCAGCTTATAGGCCTGGATAGGTCATCGAGGGAGTGAATATAGAGACAGTAGAGAAGAGCTGAGAACTGAGCCCTGACACATCCCAAACTGTGAGGCTCAGAAGAGAAGCTTAGAGAAGGGTGTCTGTTTTTCTCACCTCTACAGAATGAATCAACATTGTGTGTTGCTTATTATTCTTTGCTGTCTACCCTCAATTTACCATTTATTTCCTACTAATTAGAACTTCTAATTACATTGATTTTTTTGAGTCATTATCTACTTCTGGCCCTGAAATAGCGAAATAGAATTCAGTGAAATCAATTTTAAGCCATTATGTTCTCCAGTGTACAAGGAATTTACTGGTGAAAGTAGACGAGACAGTAGTCATGCTCGGGCCAGCCTATTTTATTCCCAGAGGCTGAGTAGAAATCGAGGTAATTACTTTACAATTAATGGAAAACAATATAATCAAAACCTACTTAGGGGGCTAATTTAAGTAAAGGACATTACGTGACCTCTTTCAGTGAAATGAAGATTTCCCCTGAGAAGGAAAATGTCTTCAGTAGCAGAGTGAAAATAAATATTAATATTAATAGCTGGCACCAGTGGAAACTTTCTCTTCAGGAAAATACCCAGATAAGTTACATGGGGTGGAAATATGAGACAATGAGAAGTGGGTTAGGAGGAAGCCCAGGAAAGAGAAGAGATAGCTGAGTTCCACTGCATTAGAAATGCACAGACACAGGGAACAGGAATTTATGAAAAAGAGCCAGTGCCTGGGCAACATTGTGAAGTTGCCCAAGAAGTTTGGAAACAGCCGTGTCTAATAATTATTGTTAAACTCCAAGCCTTCATTAAATTATGCTACACCTACAATGCCTTTTGTAAGGCATACAATGCTTCTGTATGTTGTGTCTGTGTGTCTGAATGGGTTTATGACTTTTTAATGGGAAAAACTAGGTGAAGTTCTGGGTTAACTCCAAGAAGGTCAGTAACAAATTCAAAACTTAGCATAGAGAATCAGATTCAGTAGGGTTAGAAGTGGAAGGCAGAAATCGCTAAAAGGCATAAATCTCTTCCTCCCTCTTCTGTTCAGAAACTAGAGGCATATTGGTGAGGACTTAATTAGGTATAAATTATAAACTGGAGATTTGAACCAATCTTGAATAATCTTAAGAAGCAAAGTGTATTATATTGTTGTTTTGTGATTTTTAAATAGTTCTGTCCTGACCCAGTTTTGAGGCCCTGGCTTGAGGCAGGTCAGTTCCTGTTTTTGAGCAGCTGGTTAAGCCAACACCTCAGCTACTTCCCCCATCTGCCTCTTGTGCGCCTGGTTACCAGGCACTCTTCCTAATGCTCCATGGCCACGCAACACACAACTAGGGAAGCCCCTACGCCCAGGGCCTGCAAAGTTATTCAAATTAGCCCATCCACAGGGAGCCCTGGAAACCTAGCATTGACACCCCACTTGCCATACCTAAGCTGCCTCTACAGCTCCAGTTTGCTGTTACCGTTTCCCTGCAAGCCTTTGTGTGGCACTATCTTTCTTCTGGAGCTGTAAGTAACTAAGAGATCTGCCTTTCATCTAACCATGTATCAGTGTATTGTGTCCCACTATCAAAAGAATCTTTAAATCCTATAAAATTCAAAGAATTATCAGCTTAATATCTGGAATTTACTTCAAAATTTTAAAAATATTTACTTGTTCCTTATTTACATGGAAAACATTGATTTGGTGACCATTAATAACACATTTCACCTGGCTGTGTAAGAATCATGCCAAGGGATTTGTTAGAAATCTAGACTGATATTCCATCCTAGACCAACTGAATCTGAATCTCAGGAAGGTACAAAGTGGGAAACTATATTTTAAGTTTTTCAGGTGATTCCAGTGCACATACTGATATAGGGACCACTGATGTGGAAGGGACACAAAATGTTCTGCTTCACCTTCAAGGATTTTAATTCTGGATTAAAATCCAAGATCTGTTTTTACTACCATGTTATATGGAGCAAGTTACTTAACCTTTTTGAAATTCAGAGTTTTTGTCTGTAAAAGGACAATAATAACTTGCTGGATTAGTGTGATGATTAAATGAGAAAATTGTCTAAAACTATCCAGCAAAATACCCAGAGCTTTAAATACAGTAGCTATTAGCATTATTTAGAGAGAGCAAATACTAGGAAAAAATATAATGTGTAAAAAGGGTCAGGAAGAGCAGACATTTACAAAATTTGAAAATATGAGATAGAAATGCTAATATCCTTTAGTACTTAAAGGTTTATATGGCCCAGATACATTCAACAGATTTTTGTCTACAAAAATGGTAGATATTATTTCAGTGTATAATCCTAAAAGTTTAGTTCATAAGTATGATGCCTCTCTGATGTAAATATTCATTTATTTATCACTAAATATTCATCGAAGATCCACCTATATGATTTATTTCTGTTGCTTCATCTGCTGGCATACTTTTCTTTGTCTACATAGGAGCCTTCAATGTTTAACGGGATGGTTGTGATGCATCTGCAGCAACACTTTTCTCTCACATGCTCTCACAAGTTTTCTTTAAGTCTTCATTTTCTACATTTAAAGAACATATCACACAGTTAAGTAGAGCCAAATCTCAAAGACGAAGTAATTACTACTAAACAAGTTTTAGATACAACTTCTTCATGTGAAGCCATTGGAGCAACTGGTAATGAAGATGCTTCCAAATGTATACACACGAGGATCATCTAGCTTCTGTCTAGGCTGGTAAACATGATCCTAGGTTCTCTATACCCTCATTTGACTATGAGTGGTCCAAAGTAAGGATTGTATTTTGTATTAGATTTTTTTAATGGTCATACTCAACCTGTCTTGATATCTTTATTTTTTTTATTGAGATATAGTTGATGTTCAATATTATATGTTACAGGAATGCAACATAGTGGTTCATGATTTTTAAAGTTATACTCCATTCATAGTTATTATACAATATTGGTTATATTCCCTGTGTTGTGCAATATGTCTTTGTAGCTTATTGATTGTATACATAGTAGTTTGGACCTCTTAATCCCCTACCCTTAATCCCCTACCTCCAGCCCCTCCTCTTGTGTCTTTCCCTCCTGGTAACCACTAGTTTGATCTCTGTATTTGTGAATCTGTTTCTTTTTTGTTATATTCACTAGCTTGTTTTATTTTTTAGATTCTACATATAAGTGGTATCATACAGTATTGGTCTTTCTCTGTTTGATTTATTTCACTAAACATAATACCCTCTAAGTCCATCCATGTTGTTGCAAATGGGAAAATTTAATTATTTTTTTGTGGCTGGGTAGTATTCCAGTGTGTGTGTGTATCACATCTTCTTTATCCATTCTTCTCTTGATGGGCACTTAGATTGCTTCCATATCTTGGAAATTGTAAATATTGCTGCTATGAATATGGAGGTGCATGTATCTTTCTGAATTAGTGTTTTTTTAATATATAACCAGGAGTGGAATTACTGGGTCATATGTTAGTTCTATTTTTAGTTTTCTGAGAAACCTTCATACTGTTTTCCACAGTGGCTCCACCAATTTACATTCCCACCAACAGGATACGAGGGTTCCTTTTTCTCCATATCTTCAATAATATTTTTTATTTGTGTTCTTTTTGATCATAGCCATTCTGACAGATGTGAGGTGATGTCTCTTTGTGGTTTTAATCTGCATTTGTCTGATGATTAACGATGTTGAGCATCTTTTCATGTACTTGTTGGCCATCTGTATATCTTCTTTGGAAAAATGTCTGTTCAGATCTGCCCATTTTTAAAATCAGGCTGTTAGGTTTTCCAGATTTTGAGTTTTATAAGCTATTTATATATTTTGGATTTAACCCCTTATCCATCATAACATTTGCAAATATTTTCCCAGTGTCTTGATATTAAGCACAATTTCCTCTTAGCTTTGAAAATATACTGAGGCAGGCTATTGGGTTTTGCTTGAAGTTCCCCACATTGCTCTAAACCACAGCTACTGTCAGTATGTCCTGATTTGCCCTTCCCTATTGCTTTAAAAAGGAAAGGAAAGATGCATGTTTAAGATCTTTATTAAGACTATTGCTCTTACTTTCTTCACTAGTCAATGGCTGGATGTCATGAGCAAGTTGTTAGCTTCCCTGAGTCCATTTATTCATTAGAATGAGAAATGGCAATATTTACCACATAGGAATGCTTTCAAGATTACATCAAATAAATAGATGTATGTAAAAACTAATTTGTAAACTTTCAATCAAAATACAAATTATTACTATTTTATTTTAAGTGCATGTGTTTAGTATAAGACTCATGGCATTTGGCTAGACTAGCCTTCCTGACATCTTTCATCACTTCCATTTGGACAGGCACTCTCCCAGTGTTTGCATCTTCTGCCTCGAGCCCCATACCACTGAGGTCCTTATAGGTCACTGTCATTTGTTCACTCTGTAGGGCTAGAAATCATCCTTGGAAAAGTAGAGGTTATGTTATTCAAGTCGTGCTCCCTGATGGGGAAGCACAGTGAAGGGCTGGGTTCTTTGCACATGCAGCAGGCGGAGGTACTGTGAAGTTGGCAAGAGCTATTTTCTGTCACAGCACTTGGATTTCTCCCAGGCCTGGTGGGGGTAGTTCAACCTTGAATCAGGAGCTCTACATTCTAATTTCAGCCACACCATGGGCAAAGCAATTTCAGTCATGTTATTTAAATTGCCTTGTTCTCAGTTCCAGCAGATTGCTCATTCTACTTCTGGCCTGCCTCACAGAGACTCTGTGAGAAATGTTTCTCACAGATACACATTGCTGTGAAATTATGAGACAGATATGTTTTTGTCCCGTGATCCCAGGTACTGCAGTTTAAGGCTTAGAACTGTGCTTGAACCTCAGAACATGTCAGTGTATAGAAAGCAATTATCTGTTTTCCTCACAAGGGCACTTCCCTGTTATCCTTTATTATGCTCATAAAAATAGAAATGAGGTATCCAGCAATTGAAAATGTTTTATTTTTCTACCCCTTTTCTCAAGAAAAAGGATCTATTTTGAATGTCTCATCTTCTGAAGAAGCTTCTCAGTTCACAAAAGTTTTTCTTAGGACAGATGTACAGGCTCAAACCTAAATGAAATGCTGACACCACTACATTTCTCTTCAGGCAAGTCACCCTATATGTTTGCCTCTATTACTGAGGTATAAAACTTTGGAGGGAGGAAGCAGAACAGCATCATTATCCCACCCTCAATTAAAATGCATCTGCCATTTCGGCTCAATGAGAGCATGAAACAGTCACTTTAAATACCCATTGAAGTATAAACATTTATGGAGCCCTCCTTCGGTGTCAGAGATCCAAAAATGATTAAAACATAGCTCCTGTCCCCTGTCAGTTAATAAGCAAAATAATTTTAACACGTTATTATTTTGTGTCCCTGGAAGCCAGACTGACTTGAAAGAAGTAGCTTTCAAGAAATTAACTAGGTTCCTGTCTTTAATGCTATTGTGAATAAAAATCAGGAGAAATAACTATGCCAGCAGCACATTTTTGTGACTCTCCAACATATCTCTGACTATGGAGACTAATAAACTAAGAAGAATTCAGTTTATACACGAGGCTCATAAACACAAACTGTAACAATTTTGCTAATATATTACAGGTTCCTGTTTTATGGTCATTAATTCCCATTCAGAGTATAAATGGCACACATAGACATAGTGTATCAATATGATTATGAAAAATTTTCTTGCAAAAGCAAGAAAGAAGTAAGACCATCAGATATATGGGATCAAATATGCAAAAGGGAAAGTGAAGAACACTTTGTCAAGATGAAGAACAAGGGCTTGTTTTCCCAGAAGATAATACTATCTTCTGCTTCATTGTGAAGGATTTCTAAAGTGGTTGTGATTTCAACTAGGCATTTACATGATAAACAGAGAGCAGTAAATAAATACTCTGGGGAAAGTATGGCACTTTGGTATAATCATTTATTTTGGACACTTCTCCATCTTCTTTGAGATGATTATAAAGAAATAATGTATTACAAACCCACAAGGACAAAGAGAAAAGGAAACGGGTAACATTGAAATGGGAAACTCAAAAACAGAAAGCTGAAACCCACAGACAGAGAAGCTCAGTAGAAACAAGAAAATTCGTTCTGCATTAACTACAGTGAGGCTCTCGAATTAGAAGGCTTAGATAGCTTGGAAGTTAGGGGTAAAGGATACATTTGAGAACAGAAAGATTGAAGGATATGGTTAACATAGAATTTATTAAACATATTAGGATGCTCTTGAGAGTAAAAGAGTGCATTATTAACTATTAAACCATGATAAGTGACATACATTAGGACTGTCCTGGGCAATAACACATTAGTTCAACATTGAAGTACCTGTTCAAATCTTGCTCTCATTTTAAAAATTGAATTATATTCCTTTCAAATTGATTTGTAGATGTTTTTACATACAGGCTTTTTGATACTAACTCTTGTCTGATGTGTGTTGCATATCATCTCCTTTTTTATGACTTACCATCTAATTCTTAGGGCGTTTTTTAAGGAATAGAAATTCTTTTTTTCTTTTTTCTTTTTTTTTTAGGAATAGAAATTCTTAATTTCATTATTACCTAATGTGTTCATTTTCCCCCTTCATATTAACATTTTTTATGCCTTCTTCAAGAAATCTTCCTCTAAATAAGATCTTGAAAAGATTTGTGTATGTTCTTTCTAAAGCTATAAAGCTTAACTTTCCTATTTAAGTCTTTGTTCTGCATGGAATTAATTTTGTGCATCATGTGTGATAGGGGCCAAACTATATATATATATATTTTTTTTTTTTAATATTTATATCCCGACATCATTTTTTGAAAAGCTTGTGTTCCCCATATTATTTTCATAAGTCAAGCCCTATATAAGCAGTGGCTCTAATTTTTTTGTATTTGTTTTTAAAGGAATTACTGGGGATTGAACTGAGGACCTCCTGCATGCTAAACATGTACTCTACCACTTGAGCTATATGCTCCCCACTATTTTTCTAGCCTTTTTAAATTAAATTAAACTGTTTTAATTAGTTTTATTTTCTCCTAGGTCATTCATCTACATGCAACAATAACATGATGAATTCATTTTTGAATAGCTTTAAAAAATTACCTACTAAAGTTTGTCTTCTCACCTGATTCTTCTTCAAGAGGGTCATGGCTACAATTGGCCCTTTGCATTTCATTATAATTTTTATACTTAGTTTGTTAAGTTCTATAAAAATTCCTGCTGAAATTTTGATAGGGATTGTATATATATATATATATATATATATATATATACACAATTGTATATATATATACATATATATATATCTACATATATCTACCTGAGAGAACTACTGTTTTTACAATAAAGTATTTTTTAATCCATCAATTTATGGATTTTCTATTTATTTAGATTTTCTTTAATTTCTCTTAAAGTTTTATAATTTTTCTCTGTATAGATCTTGCCTAATTTCTTAGGATAATTTTGATACTATTACAAATGTTACATTTTCAAATTTTCATTTTCTAAGTGTTTATTCCTGGTAGATATTCACATACTAATCTGTT